GGTTTTTTTTTAATAGTATCCTGAAGATTCCCGACAATATTTTTTAGATTTCTAATTTCCTCTTCTTTTCTTTGGTTTGACTATATATGTTCCTGTCCTCTGTCTTCTAAGTCTGATATTCTCTTTTCTGCTTCACCCATTCTGTTTTTAATGCTCTCTAATGTGTTTGTCATTTTTTTAACTTTTATTTAATGAATATAAATTTCCAAAGTACGGCTTATGGATTACAGTGGCTTCCCCCCATATCGTCTCTCTCACCCGCATCCCTCCCCTTTCCCAATCCCTCTCCCCTTCCATTCACATGAGGATTCATTTTCGATTCTCTTTATATACAGATCAGTTTAGCATATATTAAGTAAAGATTTCAACAGTTTGCTCCCACACAAACATAAAGTGAAAAATAATCGATGATTTTTTAAATGATGATGAAATCAGATCAGACCTATTGTCATGTTTAATCCCATTGAGAGTCAAGTTGGGAATTGATAATTTCTTCTTCTTCTTTTTTTACAGAAGATCAGTTTAGTATACATTAAGTAAAGATTTCAACAGTTTGCACCCCCATAGAAACACAAAGCGAAATATACTGTTTGAGTACTCATTATAGCCTTAAGTCTCAATGTACAGCACATTAAGGACAGAGATCCTACATGAGGAGTAAGTGCACAGTGACTCCTGTTGTTGACTTTACAAATTGACACTCCTGTTTATGGCATCAGTAATCTCCCTATGCACCAGTCATGAGTTTCCAAGGCTATGGAAGCCTTTTGAGTTCACAGACTCTTATCTTGTTTTGACAAGGTCATAGTCAAAGTGGAGGTTCTCTCCTCCCTTCAGAGAAACGTACCTCCTTCTTTGATGACCTGTTCTTTCCACTGGGATCTCACTCACAGAGATCTTTCATTTAGGGCTTTTTTTTTTTTTTTTTTTTTTTGCCAGAGTGTCTTGGCTTTCCATGCCTGAAATACTCTCATGGGCTTTTCAGCCAGATCCGAATGCCATTAGGGCTGATTCTGAGGCCAGAGTGCTGTTTAGGACATCCGCCATTCTATGAGTCTGCTGAGTATCTCGCTTCCCATGTTGGATCACTCTCCCCTTTATTTATTCTATGTTAGTATTAGCACGTACTAGACTTGTTTATGTGCTTCCTTTGACTCTTAGTCCTTTCATTATGATCAATTGTGAACTGAAATTGATCACTTGGACTGGTGAGATGCCATTGGTACATGCCACCTTGATGGGATTAAATTGGAGTCCCCTGGTATGTTTCTAACTCCACCATTTGGGGCAAGTTGAATGTGTTTGTCATTTGATCTATTGAATTCTTCATTTCATTATGATTTCTCGTCACTATCGCAGTTTCATGTTCTACTAATTGTTTCATTTCATTTTGATTCCTCCTTAATATTTCATTTTCACGAGAGAGATTTTCTATCTTGTCCATTAAGGATTTCTGTAGTTCAAGAATTTGTTTTTGAGAACTTCTTAATGTTCTTATCAATTTTTTGAGATCTGCTTCTTGCATTTCTTCTATGTCATCATCTTCATAATCTTGAATTGGGGTGTCTATTTCATCTGGGGTGTCATAGCGTCTTCCTTGTTCTTCATACCTCGGCTTTTGCGTTTGTTGTTTGGCATATTGGAGATATTCTTTGTTTTGTTTTGTTTTTTTTTTTTGGTGTGGTGTTTTTTTCTCGTTATACTGTGACTCTAGATTAAGAGGACTGTCTGCTTTTGATGGATCCTTAGAGGCTGTGATGGGTGTAGCCAGAGGGCTCTGTTTGGTTCTTCAGGGTTAAGGGTGTGCCAAAGGTGATTCACCCTGATTGTTCTCTTGCTGGCTCTCGCTCTCTCTCTCTCTCTCTCTCTCTTTGACTCAGATGGGAAGTAATTCCATACCGCTGAGTGGAATTGAGAGTAGTTGATATATGAAATCTGGCCCCTGTGGGTATTCGTTTGCTTACTGCTGGGACCACACAAAGAGTTTATGCATCCCTCAGTGTGTTCTCAGATTTTACTACAGTCTGTCACCAAGTTGCCCAGGTTATGGAGTTTGTGTACTCGGTGAGTTCTCTCGCCCCCCCCCCCTCAGTTTTTCACAGTCTCAGTTGTTTAGCTCCATAGTTTCCTTAGGTGTTAACCTCCTGTTATTTCTTCCCACCAGAGTCAGGTTTTTCTGCTTGGCTAATGAGGGGCACCCACTTTACATATGCAAAATGGCACATGCCTCTTTACTTACGTAAAATGACACCTGCCCTTTGTCTTGCTTGGCTTTGTAAGGTGAGTGGAGAGAGAGGCTAATGTTCGTGCTGGTTCCCCTTATTTATTCGATTTTTCCTCTCCTCCAGCCAGCCTGGTGAACTTTCCCCAGTGGGGTTTCAGGCCTCGTTCTCCGCAGGCTCTTTCTGCCTTTCACCAACAATGTCTCGGGTTACCAAGAGGTTTTTGTCTCACCTCCCCTTCCAGCGCTGGTGCACAAACCCTGCGGCTCCCGCAGCTCCGGTGGCTCTGGTGGCTCCCGCGGCTGGCTCGGCTTCCACGCGGTGGGTGACCTTGCTCTCCCCGTAGGTCCTCCGAGTCACAGCCAGTAGATCCGGAATAGTTTCCTCTGCAATTTTTTCCTGATCCTTTTTCTGAGGCTACTGTAACTCCACTTTCATTAAACTATCTTTTCCCGGACTATTGGTAGGCACCCTCACTATTCCGCCATCTTGGCTCCGCCCCCCCTCTTTTTTTTAACTGTTAAGCTAAGTTCTAGACATTATTTGGTGAGGTCAGTAACTGGTTTTTAGATACTATAAACATGGAAATTCAGAACCAAAATAAAATCAAAGCAATGCTTACCAGTAATAGTTTTATGTATAGAACAAATTTTCAAATATATACATTTGAGTAAACTTGTATGATTTCATTATGTCAGCTCATGTTTGCTGAGCGTGATGTCCACTAGGATGACAGTAACAGATGACAAGATACTATGTCATTTAACAAGCTGGCCTTGGTCTCTAAAATTATAAGCCAAGCCAAGTCTGAAATGTTTCCATACACCTAGAACAGCAAGCCATTGCATGACTCAATTTATGTCATAATATATTCTGGCACTTCAAAATATTTAATATATGTTTAAGTCCATAAACTCCTTATCTGATCAGATTTTTTCATTGTTTCTTTCATCAGCAGGATATCTAAAATAATACCCTGTTTTCCCCCTCTTAAGTCTATAGGCAATTGAAAAATAAGACATAGGAGACACTCAAGTAGTAATCAAAATAATAACTTTATTTATGATAAAGCTGATTGCAGAATCTGACTTTAACATGAGCAGGCATTTCAAAGAACAGGAAGGAAAATATCTCTTAAAAAGATACTAGACCTTATGAACTAATCAGAGGAATGCAAATTAACATCATAAGATACCATTCTGCCTGCATCAGATTAGCAAAAATTAAAAAGTCAGCAATATAAAGTATTGCAGAGGGTGTGGAGCAAGGAGAAGTTTGTGGCTGAGCATGAGATTTGGTTGAATCACTTTGAAATACAATTTGACCTTATCAGTAAATTTGAAACAGTACCTACACCTTGACCCAGCAGATCCATTCCTGGGTACATTTTTTAGAGAAATGTATGTATTTAAAACAGAAAACATATTCCAAGAATATTCATAGCCACTTGTTTATAATTAGGAAAAAAAAAACCTGAAAACAAAATAGTCCTCAACAAGAAAATGGATAAAATATGGAGGTTGGCATTGTGGCACAGTGGATTAAGCCACGACCTGAGCCACTACCATCCCATATCAAAGGGACTAGGATATCAAGTACTGCCCTGCTTCTGATCCAGCTTCCAACTGATGTGCATCCTGGGAGGCAGGAGGTCATAGCTCAAATACTAGGATTCCTGCCATTCATATGGGAGACCCATGAGTCGTCTCTGGCTCCTGGCTTTGGCCTGGCCCTGCCTCTCTGCCTTTTAAATAAATTTAAATATATATATATATACACACACACACACACACACACATATATAGTATATATGAAGAATGGAATGTTAGACATCAGTGAAAATGAATGATTTACAGTAATATGTATCAACATAGATAAATCTCTATAATATGAAATGAAAAAGCAAGTTGAAGAAAAATACATACAAAAGAATTCTACTTTTGTAAAGTTTTTTTTTTTTTAAAGATTATTTATTTATTTGACAGAGTACAGGCTGAGAGATGCAGAGCGGGGAGGGGAGAGGTCTTCTCTTCACTGGTTCACTCCCCAAATGGCCACAATGGCCAGAGCTGAGCTGATCCAAAACCAGGAGCCAGGAGCTTCTTCCCAGGTCTCCCACGTAGGTGCAGGAGCCCATGTACTGGGCCATCTTCTACTGCTTTCCCAGTCCACAACAGAGAGCTGGATTGGAAGAGGAGCAGCCGGGACACAAACTGGTGCCCATATGGGATGCCAGCACTGTAGGTAGAGGCTTAGCACACTATGCCACAGTGCTGGTCCCCCATCTGTACAATTTTAAAACATGACAAAATTAAATAATATATTACCTAGAGAGCTATCCAGGTATGATTAAATTGTAACTAAACAAGAGAATGATAAAAACCAACTTCAGGGTTGGGAAGGGCAGGAAGAGTTCAGAGGAGGACACAGCTAAGGTGCCCAGTCCTGCTGGCATGCATTCTCATTAGTGACTGGCATGCTACCCTGGTTTCAAACAATATTTAGGTCTGCTATTGCAGCTTCAAAGCTAAAAATTGATGTTTTTTAGTGAAGTCCTCGTAGGTCAAAAAAAAAAAAAAAAGATTTTCTATTGTAGGGGTAGAGAGTAGATTCTTGCCCCATAATCCCCACACAGTATCCCAAATTTCTGTTTCTCTGGTTTCTCAGTTACCTGGAGTTCTTTCATAGGTGAGTTTGTAGATTCCTGATGCACAAAGAAATAGTTTTAGTGATAAATAATAATAATCTGGAGCAACTACAAGAAAATAAGATCTGTACCTTTTTCTGTGCCATGGATCACTTGGTTAATCCTCTGCCTGCGGCGCCAGCATCCCATGTGGGCGCCGGTTCTGTCCCGGTTGCTCCTCTTCCAGTCCAGCTCTCTGCTGTGGCCCGGGAAGGCAGTGGAGGATGGCCCAAGTGCTTGGACCCTGCACCCGCATGGAAGACCAAGAGGAAGCACCTGGCTGCTGGCTTTGGATTGGTGTAGCTCCGGCCGTAGCAGCCATTTGGGGGGTGAACCAATAGAAGGAAGACCTTTCTCTCTATATCTCTCTCACAGTCTCTGTCAAATAAAAAAAAAATTTAAAAAGTGGTGAATGAGTCATCCCTCCTTTGTCATTTGCCAAAACCTCTTGTGGTGGTCAGAACTCTAAGACTACCTCTCCCCACCAGGATTCCAGCCCCCAGGACACATGCTCTGCATATGTATCTAGTGGCAGGACATAGGAATATTCAGGGTTGGGGACTCCCTTGGTTAGATTATGGCATATGAACAATGTAATGGGGTAGTGATCCTGTGATGTTATTTTATAAAACACTGCTGTTTCTGCGAGCTTTGGAGCTGCCATGTTGTACAAGGGCCTAGAAACAGAAGGTGGCCTCTAGGACTGAGAGGAACCCTTTGCCAAAAGCCAGAAAGAAAATAGGGATTTACAGCTTCAAAGGATTGAACACCTCCACCAATCTGAATGAGCTTACAAGAGCACCTCAGACTTCAGATGAGAACCACAGCTCTACTGATAATTTTGTACCCTTGGTAGACTGAGCAAATGATCTGGAAAAGCAGTGCCTAGACTCCTGGGACCCATGCAAATCATGTGATAATACATCTACTTATGTGTTGTTTGAAGCTGCTAAGTTTGCTGTATGTTGTTACATAGCAATAGAAAATGAATATACTCCCGATTATTGCATCTCACTGCTAAATAGCCTTGGCTACCAGCCTATGTGGGCCCCTTCTTCCTTCCCTTTCCTCAAATTTCCATAGGGTTATCAGTTTCTGGGTCTAGGCTAGAGTTACTATCCTCTTCCATCATGCCACAGTTTATACCTGCACTCTAAACAGTCCTCCTCCTCTCCTTCTCCCCAGGAGAAGCCCCCAGCTTGTGCTAGGGAGGCTGCTGAGATGGTCGTTTCAGTCACTGAGAGACAGGCAAGTTCTTGTCCCTCCTTGCTTGCTCCCTCTCTCTCCCCATTCTCCCAGCCCAACTGTGATTATGTTTCATGCCTACAGAGATTATGAAAATAGTGTTTCTTTGAGGACTCCACTATCTAATGGTAGATAAATAACTACATGGTAATCACTCTCCTCATGCACAATTAAAAAGTAGGAAGCAGAAGGTAATTATGCTGGAACCTCACCCTTACCTGTTGTGTACACCCAGTCTTTCCATTTTCTCACATTCATTAGAATCCACATGTAAATAAAATCTGTGGTTTCAGTAGAGGTTGATTATCTGTTTAAATCACTCAGTGGCCATTCAGAAATGATAAGGATCTGGTAGACTGGTTTGTGAATCATCACTTAGAAGGAAATCAAGAAAGAGATGAAGCTGATTTGGTTTTCATATCTGCATTTCCTTGGGAGTTTGAGCCAGATTACTGACAATTTCCTTTGTGCTTTATTTTCCAAATGTGGTATTTGTTTGTCCTAATTGTTAAATATGATTTCAGAAACACTATTTTGAAACATTAAAAGTGGCAAGAGTACAAAAGAACCATTTATCTCTAATGTCTGCTGCAATTTATGTGGCTGATGTTTCCACAGTTGTATAATAAGAGGAATTTACACTTGCACCATGGCTCATGTCTAGAAATGGCCATGTTAAGCAGGATGTTGAAACTCTGCTTTTATAACAATTGGTTTCTCTAGGTAGTTACAGTATACCTGGGCAACTCTTTAAAATTTTTTTATTTATATAAGGTGACAAATTTCATGTTTCTCATATATACAGATGTAAGAGTATAATGATACTTTCCACCCTGCCCTTCCTCCCACCTATGCTCTGAAACTCTTCCACCTCCCTATTGTTTAACTTTTACAATGACATACTTTCAGTTTGTTTTACAATCACAAGCTTAACCCTTCACTAAATAAAGAATTCAACCAGTAGTAAGTAGAAAAACCACTGTTTCTCAAGAGTATAGACAAGGGCTATAAACAATAATCAAAAATGAAAATGCCAACTTCATATGCATTATAATTTTTTGTACTCTGTTAGTAGTTACCACAAATCAGGGCAAACATGATATTTGTCCTTTTGGGACTGGTTGATTTCAGTAAGCATAATGGTCTCTGGTTGCATCCATTTTGTTGCAAAAGATGATTTCATTAATTCTTTTTTATGGCTGAGTAGTATTCCATAGTGTGTATATACCATATTTTCTTTATTCAGACATTAGTTGATTGACATCTGTGTTGATTCCATATCTTAGCTATTGTGAATTGAGCTGCTATAAACGTGAGCATGCAGATAACTCTTTCATATACTGATTCCTATTCATTTGGGTAAATTCCTAGGAGTGGAATGGCTGGGTCATATGGTTGATCTGTTTTCAGATCTGAGGAATCTCCATACTGACTTCCATAATGGTTGTACTAATTTACATTCCAACCAACAAAGTATTAGGGTACCTTTTTCCTTACATCCTCACCAGCATTTATCGTTTTTTGATTTTTGGATGACAGTCATTCTAACTGGGGTGAGGTGAAACCTCATTGTATTTTTTTTAAGATTTATTTATTTATTTGAAAGAGTTTACACAGAGAGAGAGACACAGCAGGATCTTCCACTGCCCAAATGACTGCGATGTCCAGAGCTTGGCTGATCCAAAACTAAGAGCCTGGAGCTTCTTCCCATCTCCTACATTGGTGCCAGGGGCCCAAGGACTTGGGCCATGTTCTGCTACTTTCCCAAGCACATTGGCAGGGAGCTGGATCAGAAGTAGAGCAGCTGGGTCTCAATTGGCACCCATGTGAGATGCAGGCATTACAGGCAGTGGCTTTATCCACTCTGCCACAACACTGTCCCTGACTCATTGTGGTTTTATTTGCATTTTCCTGATTGCTAGTGATCCTGAGCATTTTTTTCAAGTCTCTGCTGGCCGTTTGAATTCCATCCTTTGAAAAATGTTGAAGTCCTTTGCCCGTTTCTTAACCAGATTGTTTTGTTGTTCATGGGTTTCTTGCGCTCTTTATAGATTCTAGATATTAACCCTTTATCAGTTGCATAGTTTGCAAATATTTTCTCCCAGTTTGTTGGTTGCCTTTTCACTTTGGAGTGTCTCCTTTGCGGAGCAGAAGCTTCTTAGCTTGATGTAATCTGATTTGTCTATTTAAGCTTTGGTTATCTGTGCTCCTGGGGTCTTTTCCAAGAAATCTTTGCATATGCCAATGCCTAAGAGTTTTCCCGATGTTTTTCTCCAGTAATTTGATGGTATCAAGTCATAGATTTAGATCCTTCATCCAGTTAAGGCTGATTTTTGGAATCAGTGTAAGGGAGGGGTCTTGTTTCATACTTTTGCCTGCATAGATCCAGTTTTCCCAGTTCCACTTGTTGAAGAGATGTCTTTTCTTTAGGGATTGATTTTAGCTTGCTTGTCAAAGATTAGTTGATTGTAGATGCATAAATTAATTTCTACACCTGGGCAATTTTAGCCAGAGACAAAATTAAGTAAATATGATGAAAATAAGTTGTAGTGTACAGCCATGCACCCCTGAATGCATCTGATCTCAGAAAATAATTTGTAGCCATCAATAGGAATTTGTTTATAGTGTTTAGATTTGCAAGTAAACATAGGGTCCTGTCAACCCCTGGGTTATAGCTAAGCAAAAACAGACAAAGAACTAAGAAAACTCAAACATTTATTGTGCTTTTTAATTCTCAGAACTGTATGCCCAATTGCTTATAGATGACATTTTTAAAAAGTTTTAAAATATACATATATCTTATATAAACAGCTATAGAAGAGAGCTTAATTTTGGCATTTGGCCCAAGGACAGATTTTTATTACTGTGCTTTACTGATGTTCAGAAATGAACTGCTTGATGCCTTTGTGGGGTGAACATTCATCCCAACATGAAGAGTCTGCCCCCAAAGTCATTCCATTACTTAGGAATTAGCTTTCTGGACTCTGCTACATAAGACTTCACAGAAAGGTGCTCTTATGGTAGCCTTTCTATGTCATTTCACAATGATCACTTTGCCTTCCAAGCTTTAATTTTAGACACTCTACTACTGGTTGCAGCCCTCTATTGTCTCCTCCTCCATTTGATTTAGATTGGCTAACTGTGGCCAGGCTCTACTTGCAGAGACTAGAAATGGAGGGAAGTGAGAGGCAGCCTCTACATAAGAGGTCCAGTTCACATTAAGTGTGGCCATACAGATATTAAATGTAAACAGCCACAGAAAGCATGAGACAATGGAAGGAAATTCAGATTCACAGCTGGAGTACTTAGCATCTAATTTACAAGATAAGTACTCCTGCCAGATTTGGTTTTCTAGAGGAACAAATGTATACGCCTGACTTTTGCTTCTTGGCAGGAATTATTTAAGGTCTCAGGAGAGCCAAAGTAATTTGAAATGCACATACTTTTTTTTTTTTTAAAGATTTATTTATTTGAAAGAGTTACATAGAGAGAGAAGGAGGGGGAAGGCGGAAGGGGGGGCTTCCATCCACTGGTTCACTCCCCAATTGGCTGCAAAGGCTGGAGCTGTGCCAATCTGAAGCCAGAAGCCAGAAGCTTCTTCTGGGTCTCCCATACAGGTGCAGGGGCGCAATGACTTGGACCATCTTTTTCTGCTTTCCCAGGCCATAGCAGAGAGCCGGATCGGAAGTGGACCAGCCGGGACTCAAACCGGCACCCATATGGGATGCTGGCACTGTAGAGTAACGGTTTTACCTGCTACACCACAGCACCAGCCCCCACATGCATGTTTATATGCAGTCCCATCTAGTCTAACCGTGTCACAGTCTGAGAACTGTATCATTAAGTGAGTTTTGTCATTGTGAGAAGAAACACCAGAGTGTGTACTTAGACAAACTAAAATGGCTACGATGTCACTAAGTGATACAATCCTATGAGACCCTTGTCATACACATGATCTGTCCTTGGCTGAAGTATCATTATGTAGTACATCACTGTAAATAGTTATTAGATACATGTGAGGTCTTCAAAAAGCTCATGGGAAATGTGTATTATGACAAATACACATTGTCAATATTTTTTCACCAAAATAAACCCATCTTCTAATTCAATTTTTCCAAAAACTTTGTTTGAAA